TTAATCTCAACTACTGCTAGTGAAAATCCTCTTTCATGTTTCTTGATTCTTGCCTAGTATTCTTAACACATGTCTCTGCGACACGAGGTGTTGTTTCGACGTATGTTTATTTCAAATGTTAAGAGCATACTAGTAGCAATCACAGTGAAATTTGTGTAGGATCTGGCTTAAACCGGGCGCACAAGTATATAACACTATATTTTCGTCAGTATTTGTGATACTTGACGGGAATTAGAATAAGGGGATCTTGGATCATAGAGATTAGTACCAGTACAACTCTCTCTCTTTCTCACACTCTCTTTCTCACACACACACACACACTCTCTCTCTCTCTCTAACGCTCTCTCTCTCTCTCTCTCTCCCCCCCCCCTCTCTCTCTCTCTATATATATATATATATCTATATATATATATATCTCCCTCTCTCCCCCTCTCTCTCTCTACTTGGAATGACATACACTGCGGTTTGGCGAAAAACGACATGTGGGACAAGTACATCATACTCTTGTTGACGGAAATTTGTTATTCGCCAATCAACATTATGTGGCAATCTATTGCAACGATTATCTCAGCAAATTATTTTTTAAGAGGAAAGACATATATATAGAGACATTTACGTTACACAATCAATGTTATTGTCTAAATTCTCCATGTCAGAATGTTCTTATCTAGCCTGTAGTGGGATGCTCTATAGGGAGTACAACTCTGTTAGGGTTTGCTATTTGTATCCCCATTCTTGCTAGTCAAGCCCCTCTACTTTTCTTCTAATTTTGTCATGCTATCAGAGCAGGTCGATCCCCTTGGATCGATCCTGTGGGTGGGTTACCACCACCTCGTTGCTTCCGCTGCAACTTCCACTTCTACTCTCTGTGCCGCACGCCCCGTGGCGTGCGGCAGTTTTTCTTCCCGCCGTGCGCCCCGAGGCGCGCGGCGGTTTTCTGCTCGCCGTGCGCCCCGAGGCGCGCGGCGGTTCTCTGCCCGCTGTGCGCCCTGAGGCACGCGGCGGGCTTCTGCCTCGTCGCTCGGCGCGTCGCCGTCGGGAGGCGCTGCGACGGGCGACGGGGACCCGCGCGCCGGCCCGTCGACGCCCGTGCGCCGCTGCCCCGGCTCGTCGACGCCCGTGCGCCGCTGCCCCGGCCCGTCGCCGCCCGTGCGCCGCTCGTCCCGGCCCCGCGCAGCTGCTCCGACCCGTCGCCGCCCGTGCGCCGCCAGCCCCGGCCCGTCGACGCCCGTGCGCCGCTGCCCCGGCCCGTCGCCGCCCGTGCGCCGCTCGTCCCAGCCCCGCGCAGCTGCTCCGACCCGTCGCCGCCCGTGCGCCGCCAGCCCCGGCTCATCGCCGCCCGTGCGCCGCTGTCTCGGCCCCACACCGCCCGTGCGCCGCCAGTCCCGGCCCCGGCCCCGCCTGCAGCCCCCCCCCCCCCCCCCCCCCCCCCCCCCTTTTCCCGTCTCGCGTCGCGGCTCCCTCGGGGCCGCGGGAGGGGGGCGAGCGCCGCCCTCCCTTCTGCTGTCTGTCTTGGCGCCCTGGGCGGCCGCGCGTCGGTTCTCCGCCCTGCCTGAGTTAGGGTTTGGGGAGTGGCGAGTAGGGGGTGGCGAGTATGGGGGTGGCGGGTGTGTGGTCTCCCCTTCGCCTCCTCCTCCTCTGTCTCCCACTGCTGCAGCTGCCGCTGAGGGGGGTGGGTGTGTGGGAGTCGCTGGAGTCGTGCTAGGGGGTGGGGTGTGAGTAACCCTAGGGGTGCAGTAGGGGGTGTGTGCAAGGGGGGGTGAGACTGTTTGGGGAGCTGAATGAAGGATGCCGCTGTGTCGCTAGCAGCACCTGTAGTCCGGGGGCTTCGTCCGGTAGCTCAGTCGTAGCCAGCTGTGCCAGCCGCCCGTGGGTCCGTTGCTCGTCTGCCGCTACTTTAGCCGCGGGGCCAGTTACCCCTGTAGTCCGGAGGCTTCGTCCGGTAGCCGCTGTGCCAGTCTGCCTCCTGTTGCCCGTGTGTCTGCAGCTTCATCCGTCGCCTCCTATCTCCTTTCCTCTCACTCTCGCCTCCTCCTCCTCACTTGCCCTCTGCGATAGCCTCTAGCTTTGCTCATAATTCTTAACTTTAAACTATTGCTTCTTGAACTTGTGCTCAGAATGTGTGGTGACATTGTGATCCACCCTGAGCTTGTACTGCTTTGCTTGCTCTGCTGATTACACCCCACTTTGGCTATGGGGGTGTGTCAGAATGTTCTTATCTAGCCTGTAGTGGGGTGCTCTATAGCGAGTACAACCCTGTTAGGGTTTGCTATTTGTATCCCCATTCTTGCTAGTCAAGCCCCTCTTCTTTTCTTCTAATTTTGTCACTCCATGTATCCATACTATGAAAGAGCATGACACTATTTCAGTCTGGAATGCTTAAAATACAACAGCAACTATGTATTTGAAAATTTACAGAAGTTATGGCTGAAATAAGTTTCACAAGGCTAAAACGACATATATTTGTTACAGTTTGTGATACTTTGTGGGAACAATAGGTTGGATCTTTATTACGCACGGTATAGTACCGAGTGTTATATAGTTTCGCATTTACTGTAAACTATTTGGGATGGTGAGGTAAGACAGGCCACCACATTGGTCATTCCAGCATATTCTAGCGAACACGTCATCGTAGATTTGTTCGACAATTGGTGGATATCTACATCACACACCTTGTTGGCGAGTTGTATCGTTGTAATTGGTCCTTTCTCGTCGTCGCTTACTGGGCATCGTGGTGCTGAACTGTACATCTAGCGCACTTGCGCTTGATTACAGTCTACGTGCAGCTGCGCGATTGCTATACAGCAGCTGCGCAAGTTGCTGTAAATTCGCAGCTGCGCTGGTGCACTGCATCTGCGCATTTGTACAACTGCCAACTGCGCAGCTGCTGCAACTGCCAACTGCGTAGCTGCTGCGACTGCCATCAGCGCAAGTGCTGCAAGCGCCACCTGCGCGCCCTCCAGCGCTGGAAAAGCCTCCAGCGCACCCGCGACCTCCAGCGCTGTGGGACCTTCTTCCCCCTACCCACCCAGCAGAATCAACACCCACTCTAGCCCATCATCCCTTCACCCTCACCTCGCGTCCCGTACCTCTCTCCTCTCTTCCCCGTTCACTTGGCATCGACTTAGTAGTACCTCCCTTACTGCCCCTTCTACGTTTTCCTCGGTTTCAGCTGCCCTCGACTACGCGACTCCTGCCTAATCCACTGTTTCCACCAGTCACTATGTCTATTATCAGGTACGCAGCTGTTAGTACTACTTGGTTTTGTGTTTGTGTTATGTCATTCATTTCTGGTAGTGCTCGTAATGACCTCTTTTGCGTTGCGTTTTCTCCGATGCAGATTAATGCGGAAAAGTTTAGGAACACGTCCGGCTTGATAGTCATTTTTCGTGTTATCAACCAGAAAATTATGGAAAGTCGTTCGCATTTTATTTAGTTTTCATTTCGTTCCCTCTTTACCAACCAACTTCCTTTGTGTTTGATTTTGCAGACCACCACGTCAAGCTTTTTTCGATCTCGAAAGTCAAATTCTTCGACGCCATTGCACGTACGTATTTACGTGACCTGTTTTGTTTTTCTACTAACTACGCCATTTCGTTCCTTCTGCAGCAACAGTAAGTGTGGCTGCGTCCTGGACTGGAGCAGCAGTAGCACCAGGAGCAGCAGCAGCAGCAGCAGTTGCAGCAGCAGCAGCAGGAGCAGCAGCAGCAGGAGCAGCACCAGCAGCAGCAGCAGCAGCAGCAGCAGCAGCAGCAGCAGCAGCAGCAGCAGCAGCAGCAGCAGCAGCAGCAGCAGCAGGAGGAGAAGCAGCAGCCGCAGCAGCAGCAGCAGCAGCAGCAGCAGGAGCAGCAGCAGCAGTTGCAGCAGGATCAGCAGCAGCAGCTGCAGCAGCAGCTGCAGCAGGATCAGTAGCAGCAGCAGCAGTTGCAACAGGATCAGCAGCAGCAGCAGTAGTTGCAGCAGGATCAGCAGCAGCAGCAGCAGCAGTTGCAGCAGGATCAGCAGCAGCAGCAGCAGTTGCAGCAGGATCAGCAGCAGTTGCAGCAGCAACAGCAGCAGCAGTTGCAGCAACAGCAGCAGCAGCAGCAGCAGTTGCAGCAACAGCAGCAGCAGCAGCAGCAGGAGCAGCAGCTGCAGCAGTTGCAGCAGCAGCAGCAGCAGCAGCTGTTGCTGCAGGAGCAGCAATAGCAGCAGCAGTTGCAGCAGCAGCAGCAATAGCAGCAGCACTTGCAGCAGCAGCAGCAGCAGCAGCAGCAACAGCAGTTGCAGCAGCAGCAGCAGCAGCAGCAGCAGCAGTAGCAGCAGCAGCAGCAGCAGCAGCAGCAGCAGCAGCAGCAGCAGCAGCAACAGCAGTTGCAGCAGTTGCAGCAGCTGCAGCAGCAGCCAAGATTTTTTTATTTTTTTTTTTAATGTTTTGGCACCACATTTTGTTTAGGCACATGATGTCATGCTTCTGTATCATTTATTGAGTTTTGTATGTTCTGCAACGTTTTTATACGATTCGTACAACAATCACTTAGCAATACCGTGTCGTGTAATAGAATTATGAGCAATTAAAAACATATGATGTAAATCATCTTTATGATAAATATTAGATCGTCGGTTTTATGGCCGAAATCATTAATAAAAAATATAAACGAAACATGATTAGAAAGAATGCAGTGTACTGAGTCTACAGTTCATTCATTTATCTAAATTTTTGTTGGGGAATCTCGTTTCGACCGAAGCGCGATTGTGATGGAAATCCGCCGGAAACTGTGTCTGCTTTTCATCGGAAATCATGGAGTCTCTCCGAGATGGAAAACCGACGGAAAATTCAGTGACAATACCAGTGCGCCACTCGTTGGAAATCCGTCGGAACAAGTTGAGAGTTGTCCGACGGATTTCCGTTGGTTGAACAGAATGTGAAAGGAATGAACAGGAATGAATTGACAAAGTCAGAGTTGGGTACAAATACAACCCTAGCAAACTGTACCCCATATGTGCTACCCCACTACAGCCTACAAACATGCATCAGCTATAATAATCTGACACACCCCCATAGGCAAAGTGGGGGAGAACAAGGGGTCACAAGACCAGTCAAGCAAAGCAAAGCAAGCTCAGGGTGGATCACAAAGTCACCACACAGTCCGAGCACAAGAGCAAGGCCAGAGGCCAGTTCACATGCAGGAGTACAGACATATATATAAAACTAGACAAGCAAGAGCAGGTATATATATGTCAAAGTACAAGTAAAGTCAAGAAGAGAGCAAGTGAGGCAAGACAGGTACAAGACCCAGCTGGGTACAAAAGCGCTGATGGTCGCAAGGCGCAAGTGCCTTGGTGAACACATCAGCAGTGTTGGCCTCAGAGGCCACGTAAGCAAGTCGCAACTGACCACGCTGCTGCAGCTCACGAGCAAGGAAGTAGCGGAGAGCAATGTGCTTCGTTCTGTGCTCCAAGCGCTGCTCTCGACACAAGGCCAACATGGCCTTGTTGTCTACGTACAGCACTGGAGGAGAACGAGGCAGCTCTCCAAGGTCAGCCAGCAGGTAGGTGAGCCAGCGAAGCTCCTGTGCAGCCATGGCCCCGGCGTAGATCTCAGCCTCACAACTGGAGCCGAGAACCGAAGACGAGCGAGTAGACCGCCACGAGACAGAGCCGGAACCAAGGCTGAAGGTGTAACCCTGTGACGACCGCTGCGTAGCCTGGTCGTCAGCCCAAGAAGCGTCTGCGTGCCCAGTAAGGACCACTGGACTCCGCCCTCCAAGCACTAGCCCCATGCCCGACGTACTGCACAGGTAGCGCAATACCCTCTTCGCTGCAGCCATGTGCTCTGGTCGGTGTCTCCCAGGAGCAACATAGCGTGCAAGGATGCTCAGAGGGTATGCAAGGTCAGGTCGTGTGCAGGTCATCAGGTACATGAGGCAGCCAACAAGCTCTGCATACGGACCACTCGACTCTACGGACTCATCCGAAGGCAGAGCTGAGAGTGAGTGGCGAGTAGGCAGAGGAGTGGCCTGAGGCGAGGAGTACGTGAAGCCGAAGCGCTGAAGGACCTGCTGCACCATGTGTGACTGAGTCAGGGTAATGGTGCGGCGTGCTCTGTCCCGAGTGATCTGCAAGCCAAGGTAGCTGCGCAGTTCACCCAGGTCTGTGCACGTGTGTCTCTTCAGCAGCTCGGACTTCACGTAGGCGAGTCCAGCAGTGTCCGCTGTGGCAAAGACCAAGTCGTCGACGTACACGAGGATGTAGAACGGCGGCAGGGAAGTGTCGGTGCGAAGAAACAGCGACGGGTCAGCAGTAGAAGGAGCAAACCCAAGAGCCGCAAGCGTAGTCCTCAGTGTGTCGTGCCACTCACGCGGTGCCTGGCGGAGACCGTAGACTGGCCGTCGGAGGCTCCACTGGGTGCCAGGAGGGAAAGTCCCAGTGAAGCCAGGCGGACGGCGCAGCCAGATCTCCTCGTGCAGGCTACCCTGCAGGAACGCAGTGCTGAAGTCGAGAGAGTGAAGCTCGTAGTCGCGCTGAGCGGCAATGTGCAGCAGCACCCGAAGAGTGGTCATCTTCGGGGTGGGAGAGAAGGTCTGAAAGTAGTCAACTCCCTGCCGGTGACTGAAGCCACGAGCCACGTAACGCGCCTTGAAGACAGGCGGCGAGCCCGGCGGCCGCTTCACCCTGAAGATCCACATGCCACTGACGATGTTCGCCCCAGGAGGGGGAACCGCGTCAACGTAGGTGCCTGTGGACTTCCAGGAAGCCATCTCTGCATCCATAGCTGCCTGCCACTGAGAGGAGTAGGGACCCTCTACGGCCTCCGCGTAAGAACGCGGAGTCGGGATGTCTAGTGCATCCGGGTCTCCCTCAGGGGCTAGCAGTACAGACGCGAGACGAGGTGAAGCAGCGGCTAGACACTGGAACTCCTCCTGCCTGTCCTCTAGGACGTCCGTGCCAAGGGCACACTCACCCCCGACGGACGGAGGACAGGCGGACTCAGACTCAGCGACAAGACGAGCAGCGTAGTCTAGACGACAGCGCGCAGCAAAGTCGACAAGCTCAGTGACAAGGGCAGACGCAGCAGACGACTCGAAGGAAGGGTCAGTGACAGCAGTAGCAAGGAGACGCGTGACAGTAGGATTGGCAGCACGAAGAGAGTCCGACTCCGTGTCGGCAAGAGCAGGAAGAGAGGAAGCAGGAGGAGAAGGCAAAGGGGCACGCAGAGGAGCAGTGGACGGACGCAGTGACATCCGGTGCGTGCCAGGGACAGGAGGAGGACGCTGACGCGACCCGCGACCACTAGCGCGCTCAGTACGAACAGGCGACGCAGGACGAGACGCAGGCTCACGACGCTCAGTAAGGCCTCCAGTCGGACCAGCGTAGGGAGAAGGAGCAGGCAAAGGGGAGGCAGGCTCTAGCTGTGGCTGTGACCGGACAGGCTGCGGACCCTCTAAGGGAGGAGGAGGAGGAGCAAGACCAAGAACCTGCTCCAGGAGCGGAACGAAGTACGGTCGAGACCGCGCGGCGACGCCAGAAACAGCAGGAACAGAACCAGCAGCTCCGGCCGGAGCACCCACTCCAGCAGCACCTCCAGCAGAACCACCAGAAGCTCCAGAACCTCCAGCAGCAGCACCAGGAGCACCGTCAGTCGGACCACCAACCGCAGGCTCAGCGTCAACGTCCTCAGCAGGACCAGCTCCAGGAGAACCCTCAGACCCAGCAGCTCCAGCACCCACAGGACGAGCACCGCCAGGTCGCGTGGCAGCAGCGCCCTCCGCAGCCGAAGAACCACCAGCACCAGCGGCACGCCTCCAGCGCCAGGCAAACCACTCACGCAGCTCCTGTGGAGAGAGCGGCTCCCGGCGAGACGAAGCACCCCCAGGCACAGCACCTCCAGGCTCGGCACCTCCAGGCTCAGCACCCCCAGGCTCAGCACCCCCAGGCTCAGTACCCCCAGACACAGCACCCCCAGGCACAGCACCCCCAGGCTCAGCACCCCCAGGCACAGCACCCCCAGGCTCAGCACCCCCAGGCCCAGCACCCCCAGACTCCGCACCCCCAGGCTCAGCACCCCCAGGCTCAGCACCCCTAGACTCCGCACCCCCAGGCTCAGCTCCCGCAGCAGCACCGGAGTCACCAGTGACCTCGACAGGCTCGACCGCGTCTACCTGAGACACACCTGAAGGGGCAGGACCCTGAGGGGGGAGGGGGACTACTGGGGGGGGACCTGGTACCAGGAAGAGCGGGGGTGGGGGGAGGGACGGAGTGCGGTAGGGGAAGAGGCGGTAGTAGGGTACCGACTCGTCGAACATGACGTCCTGGGAGGACAGAACACGTCGAGAGGTGGGGTGGTAAAACTGCCACCCAGGGGCGTCGGGGGGGAACCCGAGGAAGACGCAGGGAGAAGCACGAGGAGACAGCTTGTCCGCAGACAGGTCGCGAACAAACGCCCGAGATCCCCAGACCCGGAACGCCGACGCATCGCCAACCTTCCCCGTCCACAACAGAGCTGGGGAGGTCTCCGGTCGAGAGACCTTGGGTTGGAGGTTGATCTGGTGCGCAGCGTACCTGACCGCAAACGGCCACAGAAAATGGGGAGCAGCCGCATGCATCATGGACGTACGAGCGACGTCCATGACCATGCCAATGCGGCGCTCAGCGATCCCATTCTGCTGTGGTGAGTCCGGAAGCGTGAAGGTCTGACGGATGCCTCGCACACGACAGTAGGCACTCAGGAGGGCAGAGGAGAACTCTCCGCCTCTGTCCGAGTGCAGACGCAAGACAGGGAAGTCAGAGCCAAAGCTTCTCCGAAGCTGAAGACGAGCTGCGCGGATCCAGTCGATCAACACCTGAGTGACCTCACCCTTGCTGCGCAAGGGGAAGACTGTGGTGTAACGCGAGTAGTCGTCAACCACCAGCAGGAAGTAGCGCTCCTGACTCTGTCCACGGACGCGGGCTGGGCCCCACACGTCCATGTGAAGCGTCTGCAACGGGGCCTCTGTCGGAGGAAACTGGGAGGAGTGAGGGGCAGCACGCTGGCGCCCCTCGACACAGGGGACACAGGCAGGGCCAGGGCCCGGAGGAAGGGGAGGGAGGGACCGGGGAAGACCAGACACAAGGACCCGCGAGGCCATGCCTCTGAGCCGAAGCAGAGAGGGGTGGCCAAGGCGGTGGTGCCAGAGGAGGGTCTCGTGAGACAGACGACGACACGAACAAGGGGCAGACTCAGGACCAGACCTGGACGCTGCAGCAAACACCTGACCAGACGAAGGGGCCCTACCAGACGCAGTACCTGGAGGAGAAGCAGTGGTCAGTGTGTACAGGCTCGACCCCGGCCGACGTGTAAACGTAGCCAGGTGGCGACCTGTATCCGCCTCCGTACAGTGGGTCACCCGCTGACGAGCAGGGGTGAACTGGTGGACACCTGCATCCTGGAGGTCAGCACCACTCACCAAGTTCGTCGAGAACGAGGGGAGGTAGAGACCAGTCAGGGTGCCAGAGGGGGCCGCCGGACACGGGAGGACAGTGGAGAAGCGAGACAGGACAGGCCCCCCAGAGGGGTCCGCCAGGGACACCGCAACAGGCCGACTCAGCGGCGTGAGAGTGGTGCGGTCCCGAAAGAAGGAGCGAGACGCTCCAGAGTCAAGGGTGAAGGTGTGAGAGGCCGAAGCCGACACAGTACCTGAGAGGGCGGACTCACCAGTACCTGAAAGCACAGACGCACTGGCACCTAGAGCAGCAGCCTCACTAGTACCTGACGCGGCAGTACCAATGCCCGGGTCGGGCGGGAAACACCGGTAACAGTCATCCTCATCACTACCAGTCACAGCATACATAGCAGAGAGAATAGCATCAAAATCAAGATCATAAATAGCTACACCAGCCCTAGACAGCTCTCCCCAGCGGGGGATCTCAGCGGCCTCCGGAAACTGCTGACGCCAGGCGTCGGTCAGGCGGCCAAAGCAGCGACGGGCTGTGTGGGCGCCTCCACACCTCTCCCCTGCACGGTCACCAGTGCGAAGAACGTAGGGGCAGGGACCAAGCGCACCACCGCGCTGACGCTGCAAGTACCACTCACGGAGCTGCTGAGGGCCGGGGACGGTGCGAGAGCGCTGCTGCTGCTGCGGCTGCTGCTGCGGCTGCTGCTGCTGCTGCTGCTGGCGCTGACCACCCCCAGAGCTGCTCCGCTGGGACGAGCCACTCCGACCCCCTCCTCCACCGCCACCCCCGCCTCCACCGCCACCCCCGTCGCCACCGCCACCTCCCCCACCAGGACCGTCGCTCCCACCGCTCCCACCGCCTCCTCCGCTACCACCTCCGCCGCCACCTCCGCCTCCACCGCCGCCACTACTACCTCCACTCCCGCCACCACCCCCCCCGCCACCCCCCCCCCCTCCACCCCCACCGCCTCCTCCACCGCCCCCTCTGGCTCCACCCGCTCCCTTGCCCCCCTTGCCCTTGCCAGTGCGGCGTCTGCCACTGGGGGCAGACGCCGCGCCGACCGACTCAAAACCAACGAGGTCGGCCGCAGCGGCAGAGGCGACAGAGGGCAGCAGGGGGGAGGGACCACACCCCTCAAAGATGGGGGTGCGAGGGTCACCCCGAGAGGCCCCTACAGCGACAATACTCTTCTCAGCCGCTAGCAGGGACTCCTCAAGGAGGTCGACAGTGAGAGTGGTGGGACAGACAGAGAGAAACTGGTCCCTAACGACACGAAGGGACTCAGGGAGACGGGTGACGAGAAAGTAGAGAGTGATGTACATGGGAGGAGGGTTCGCAGCGCGGAACTCAGCAGGAAGGGCAGCGCGGTAGCGGGTGTCACTAGCGCGGAGGTGGGTAACGAGGTCAGCGACAGTGGGAAAGGAAGCGAGGTCAGGGAAGAGAAACGGTAGCATGAGGCGGCTAAGGGTAGCGGAGGAAGGGGAGGAGTAGCGCGCAACTACAGCGTCGTACAAGGCCTGAGCGGTCTTGCACTGACTAAAGTGGGCACGCTCAGAGGAAGGGAGGTGGCGACGCACAGCAAGACGTGCAGCAGCATCGCGGGTCGCCCACTTGGAGCGAACGGCAGAGTCAGCATCAGCAGGCGGGGCAGGGACAGCGCCAGAGACAAAGTCAAAGAGAGAGACCTCATCTACCGCATCACACAGTAAGTACAGCTGCAGGTCCTCGATCCAGACGGCAAAGTCAATGGCCCTCCCCTCAGCGTCAAAAGTGAGAACATTGGGGGTGGCCATGGCAGCAGCTGAAAGTCTCACCGGGATGGGAGAGTCGGGTAGGTCAGCAGCAGGCGGCTCGGGCTGCTCGGGCGGCTCGGGCGGCTCGGGCGGCTCGGGCGACTCGGGCGGCTCGGGCGGCTCGGGCGGCTCGGGCGGCTCAGGTACCGGGCGGCGCGGCTGCTGCTGGGCGGCTCGGCTGCTGCTGGGCGGTTCGGCTGCTGCTGGGCGGCTCGGCTGCTGCTGGGCGGCTCGGCTGCTGCTGGGCGGCTCGGCTGCTGCTGGGCGGCTCGGCTGCTGTTGGGCGGCTCGGCTGCTGCTGGGCGGCTCGGCTGCAGTGTAGTGGCGGGGCCGGGACAAGGGACGGCGGGGCCGTCAGGGTGCAGCGGTGGGGCCGAGACAGGGGACGGCGGGGCCGTCAGGGTGCAGTGGCGGAGCCGGGACAGGCGAAGTGGCGGGGCCGCAGGGTGCAGCGGCGGGCCGTCAGGATGCAGCGGAGGGCCGCTGGAAGCACCCGCGGCTGAGCAGGCTGCGGGGCCGCGTCGTAGGAGGCGGCAGGGCTGCGGCTGAGCAGGCGGCAGAGGCCGCGTCGTAGAGGGCGGCGGGGCCGCGGCTGAGCAGGCGGCGGAGGCCGCGGCGTCTGCAGGCGGCGGAGGCCGCGTCGTAGAGGGCGGCGGGGCCGCGGCTGAGCAGGCGGCGAGGCCGCGTCTTAGCAGGCGGCGGGGCCGCGTCTTAGCAGGCGGCGGGGCCGCGTCTTAGCAGGCGGCGGGGCCGCGTCCGAGTAGGCGGCGGGGCCGCGACTGGGTGGCGGGGCCGCGTCTTAGTGGCGGGGCCGCGACTTAGTGGCGGGGCCGCGACGTAAGGGCGGGGCCGCGACGTAAGGGCGGGGCCGCGACTGGACGGCGGGGCCGCGAACGAAGGGCGGCGGGGCCGCAGGGGAAGGGCGACTCGGGGGGGTCGCTAAAAAAAGGATCGCGCGCCTCGGGGCGCGCTTCGGTGGGCCCTAGGCGAAGTTCCCACAGGGAACCCGCTCTGATACCATGTGAAAGGAATGAACAGGAATGAATTGACTAAGTCAGAGTTGGGTACAAATACAACCCTAGCAAACTGTACCCCATATGTGCTACCCCACTACAGCCTACAAACATGCATCAGCTATAATAATCTGACACAGAAATCCTAGCCTAAACCACCTGTTTTCAGGCCCGGTTTTTTGTGATGAGGAGCGGTCGAGAAGGCCGTTGAAGTCGTATTGGGTGCCGTCTGCGCCCCGGAAATGCGGATCGTCGTCCGTGTTGGCAAGGGGGTTGCACTCTCCGCCCAGGAACGTTGGTAGGATGGGTACGTCCCAGTTGCGCACGGTGATGCCTGCCAATGAGCCCAGCAACGTGCATTGGCCACTGCTTGGTGTCACGAGGAGGGGGATAAGAAGTAAGCCGGCGGTTATAATAATATAGTTTTGAGAGGCCCGGGGGAAGCGGAGGCGTTGACGAGTCACATGGTGAAAGCATTCTGAACTGAAGGAAAGAAGCTTGTCACACGGTGGGCAAGAAAGCAGTACTTCATTCAATGCTTTGTCATCGCATGACAAGGATAACGAATATCAGTGGCGCCGATGCACATCGCTCAACACCACCGGCTTGCCGTCGGCACCCTTGAATGCAGCACGTCCTGCCCCCGTCACCTTGAGAGCGTGCCCGGATGCCGACTTCACCTCAGCAATTGGTGCGGTCCCGACCTTGTCAAGGAGATCGGCCCTTGGAGTCATGGTCCATGCCGCTCCCGTGTCCAATATCCACGTGTTGAGCGGGTGCAGTGAAGCTCCAGCATGGGCGATCACCGCCTCCTCTTCCGGCTCCCCAACGTGGAAGAATTGACCGGCTTCCCGTTGCTCATTTTCAGCCGGTTCTTCATCGGCTACCGCTCCGGCGCCGCTCCCATCCTTGGTCCTGTTGGAGGGGGTCCACCATGAAGGTTTAGAACGACACTTAAACCAAGGGTGACCCACCTTCTCACAATACCAGCACTTGCCCTCCATTTTCCCGCCTCCCTTTCCTCCCCCTTTGCCACTACGGCCTCCACCACGTCCCGTTCCCTTGCCACCTTGCTGACTTGAGGGCTCCTCATCCTTAGCAGCCCCCCTCCCCGCCCCTTGCCATTTCTTGCCTTTACCCCATTTGCCTCCTTGCATGGCATAGCTGCTGCTCCCCTCTTCACTTCCCCTTAATTGGCGCCTCCGGAAGTCCTCCTCAAGTATCTTGGTGCGGATCCACTCCAACGTCCAGAGGCTCTGGTTTTGGGGAAGGCTTAAGCCGCTCGTGAAGATCATCCAAGATTCCGGCAGCAATGACAACATCTTTACACACTTGGTTTGCTCGGGGTAGACGATTCCAGCGATGGCGAGCTTGGCGTAGAGTTCTCTCAACTTGTCTAGGATGGGCTGAACGGGTTCTCCTTCACTGAGGCGTAGGGTGGAAAGCTCTCTCTCCAACATGAGAGTAGCTACAACTGATGTGGGAGCATGGAGATCCTTGAGCACGGTCCATGCCTTAGGACCACACTCTTCCTCCGGGAGAAGGTGCATGATATGTTGGCGTTGAGCGAGATCTAGGCTTTGAGACAAGATGTAGTACCCGGCGGATGAACGTTCGTCCCACTCGTTCTGTAGCTCCGGGGCACTAGGTCGTTTCTCGCTGCCTATCATAAGCTTTAAAAGACCTATTTGCCGAAAATACAGCTGCATCTTCCAAGACCAGTCGTCATAGCCCTCTCCACTAAACTTGTCGACGGAGAAGTTCTTCAACACCTCTCTTAGCAGCGGGCCCTGGCTCGTCCGGGCTATCCTAGGCGCGGAGACACCAGATTCTTGGTTACCACTACTTGCGGGGGCTGAATTCCCTTCTTCTCCAGGCGACCCCATC